CCCACACACAGACAACAACAACAACAACAACCCACCCACGAACGACGAGCGCCCGCGGACAACAAGCACCCACAGACAGACACGACCCCACCACTGCCAACGAACGGCGAACGAGGCCGCCACCGACAAGTGGCAATGAGTGCCCACTCCCAGTATGTCCCCCCTCCATTTCTATCCTTCCTTCCTGTCTGTCCCCTCCCTGTCTGTCCCCCCTCCCCATCTTTCCCCCCTCCTTGTCTGTCCCCATTTCTGTCTGTCCCCCCTTCCTCTCCATCTCCCTTCCTGTCTGTTCTCCCTTAACTGACCTCCTTCCTACCCCTGTCTGTACCCCCCTTCCTGTCTGTCCCTCCTTCCCCCCTCCCTTTAATATACTTGTAAAGTAATTTTGATGTTATTTAAAATTAAATTAAATTCTATTATGTATTGATATATGAATGCTTTAAGGATGGAACCAGAGTTAAGTTCATTAAGGAAGTTAGAGGAAGTGTTTAAACATGTCACAGATGGTTAAATGTCATGTAGTCCTCAGGAATCCTGAGGACTTGACAGAATTTTTTTCCTATAACTCAAATTTGCCAAAATTATGGTGTAGTCCTGCAGGAATCCTCAGGAATCCTCAGGAGTCCTCAGGAATCCTCAGGAATCCTCAGGAATCCTCAGGAGTCCTCAGGAATCCTCAGGAATCCTGTGAGTCCTGCAGGACTCTGTGGGGGACTGATAAGTACTGTTCAATAGTGCTAAGATATGATTTTCCTTTTCTTTCAGGCAGTTTACAGTCAGGAAAATCTCGTGAAAGTTTTGTCAAGTCAGCTCCAATGTTCCTTCCTATTTTTTTAATTTGAGAAGAGCATAAAAATTCCTTGCAATGGAACTGGCAACTTCTTCAGAAGAAACACCTGTAAAAGATATACAGATTGTGGAAGAGCAATTTGAATCAACGCTGTCTTCTGTGGGCCAGTGCCTGAAAATCCAGTGGTAAACTCCCATTCCATATCAAATCCAATGTGTAAAACTTCATCATCTGAATGGATCATTTCCATTATATCAAGGCATGCACTTCGAATTTCACTTTCTGATTCACAGACATTAACACACACATCTTCTGGCAGTAAAAGTCTTGGAAGATCTGAGTGTTCATCAAGGTCTATACGCCTCACATTTTTGCTAAGTGAGGGAATGCACTCAGAAAATGTTCCTTCATCAGATGCAACATTATCAGTAAACCCTAAGATTGGTTCAACAAGCCCATGCTCCTTCAATGCTGTAACCATTGCCTCTAACCCAGCCTTCAAATGTGACAAAGATTTAGTTGGCACAAATGCTTGATATCGTATTTGCTCAAACTCATTCAACAGAGTGAATAGAGCTGCAAAAGTCACAACACCATTAAGCTTCATCATATATTTAACCAACTTAAAAGAGTGATCCCATTTGATAACATAGCCTGTCAGAGAAGAAAGACACTGATCAAGTGCTGGTCGAATATGCTCCATATAGTCCATATAAACCAAGTTGATATACCATCGTGAAGGATAAAATCCTGCATAACCCAGTTTATCATCAAATTCAGAAAATGGCAGATATGTTTGTACTGGAAGACTGAGATCTTTTTTAAATGTCTGATCCTTTCGAATGACATGGAGATACTTCAGCTCTTGCATATCATGCTCACATACATGGAGTTCTCGGAGAATTTTAGACCAGGCACTAGCACTTAGTCTATGAGATATTCCAGCTCGGATTAAAGCCATTAGCATCTTATCAATTCCACTGTGATGAGTCAGAAATGCTGGAAATTCTGCTACAAGTCCAGAATCAAGTTGATTCATAATGACAGGGTCATAGTAATTAAAAGAGTCACCACAGCCAGTAGTATTCAGGTTCTGCAACTTGCGGCATTGAATGCGCTTTGTCATGATATAGTAGTTTCCACTGAGACCAACAACTCTGCGAGCAACAGGATTGTCATTCCAACATTTTGTTGTCATTAGATGACTTTTATCCTGATAGTATCTACATGCAGAGTTCTGACAAGTAATCGCCCTCTTTCCAGTGAGGGATTCAGGTAACCAGACAAAGACTTTGGGATAATATAATGAGCTTGGGTCCAACCCAGCAGTTGAGGACTGAGATTTACGAAGAGCAAAAAAAGGGTCTGGTGGAAGCATCCAGAAGGTATTATTATCATAGCACACAGGCCTCCCAAGGCTATCAAGCTCACGCTGAAGCTTTTCTTTCACTGAGCTAAGATAGAGCGCAACAATCCCAGAGACAGAGACATCCTCAGAATCATTAGGACTAGTGTTAGCTCCCTCAAGAATTTCCTCAATATCACCATCAGCCTCAATATCACCATCAGCACCACAGAAAGAGTCAGAATCAGAATCAGAGTCATCGAAAACAGTGTTAGCATCAAGATTAGGAACTGGTGATTCAAGAAATGAAAATGGAAGTGCATCTGATGGCTGCTCATCTTAATAGATTATGCAGGAATACAATTTTTAATTCTTCTTTAATGGTTTGAAAAAATTGGAGGCTTACCTGGCAGTTGGAGAAATTCTGTTTCCTGTGCTACTCCTGCATTTGTATTCCTAGATAATATAATCAGGGAAAGACACATGCCAAATAGGTAGAAAATACTTGTTAAACTGGTCTAAAGAAGGATGTAAATTCAATTGGGATTTTAACAGTTCATGAATGAACATACTAAAAAATGGGTGAATTGACGTCGCTTCGACACCTATAAACAAGCAGTTCAATATTAGTTCATACTGTAGTGATTTATACAGCATACCTGGTATCAAGATACTCTCAGAAAGTGTTTGAAATGAAGTTGACTGACGGGTTGATGACTGGGAAATAATTTTTCTTCCAGATCCCATGCGAGATCCTCCAGCACTGTGTTTGGTTTGATTTTTAGAGCCTGAAGGCCTTCCAGGAGGCATGTTGTTGTACTTGAGGTGCTAAATATGATGAGGGAAGGCTAGATGTCCAATAGATGGTGTGGGAGATGGTGAAATGATAAGAAGAACCAGTGTGGGAGCGAGATTGATGGCTTATGTCTGTTTTTGGATGACTTTATGTCTGTTTTTGGACTATTTGTAAACAAGGGTGTAAGAGTGATGGCTTATGTCTGCTTTTGGATGACCTTATGTCTTTTTTTGGACATGTCTCAATATAGACATAAATTATGTCTATATATGGACATAAGGTGTCCCAGACATGGCACCAGAGCCTCCACTATCCATCAGGAAAACAGTCTGATGCGATAGATTGGCCTTATTTATGTAGACTATGTAGCTCTCATAGGTCGTTGTAGGTCGCCGCTAACCTCTGTAGGGTATGGTAGGTACATTTAGTTGGATTTAGAGCATGGAAAGATATATAGGCTACAATAATATACATAATCACAGAGAGGTCAATCTGAAGTCGGGTATACAGTGGCGATCAAAAGTATTGCACAGCCACCACATGCACTTGTAAATCTAGCCTACTGATCGTAAAATGCACTCAATTAAGATAAGAAAACAACTACACTGCAGCCAGAAAAGTACAAAATAATGTGGTAGTCTCAATAATAGTAATTAGTGGTCCCGCCGATGTCAAAGCCATGAGAATGAATCAAAGTGCTGTGCAATTCTTTTGCTCACAGGCTGTCAGACGTGAGATTAAGAGATTGCGGGAGAACCAAAGAAGCAATTTCTTACCGGCCTTCAGTACTTTGTAGCGCCACCCCGAGCCATCATTAATGCAGCAATGCGACGAGGCATACTCTCATAGAGAGTGTTGAGGGCCTTCCGTGGAAAATTTGCCCATTCCTCCTGAAGTGCTACCCATAACTCCTCCTTGTTTGTTGGCAATGGGTTGCGAGCACGAACTAAGGCATCCAACTGATCCCAGACATGCTCAATGATATTCATATCTGGGCTAGATGGCGGCCATGGGAGTTGCTTGACATTTTTTCGTGCAAACCACTCCTGAGCCACCTTGGATCTGTGTTTGGGATCGTTGTCCTGCTGAAAAATCAACCCCTCCTTCCCTGTATGCCTTATTTTTAGGTCCTTAAGACTACTGAGAAATTGTTTATCAAGAATTTCCACATAGTCCGGGCTGCACATAATTCTGTCGATCCGATGAAGGCGTCCCATACCCTTAGCAGTAATCATCCCCCACACCATGAGGTTTCCCGCACCATGTTTAATAGTTTTCTTAATAAAGCGATCATCTAGGGCCTGTCCAGGTTGAAACCATGCATATTGGCGGCCATCTGATTTGAAAAGAAGGAATTTGGACTCGTCAGAAAATCCAACACGCTTCCAATCCTCAACAGTCCAGCCTGCATGTGCCAAAGCCCAGAGGCGGCGCTTCTCCTGATTGGTGGGAGAAATATACGGGTGAGACCTACAAACACGACAGACAAGTCCGTAAGCCTGGAGATTGTGTGAGAGTGTGTGGCGAGAGACGGCAGGGAAGGCTTTCTTAACAACCTCGGTAGCATTTGCAGCTTCACATTTCGCAAGCATCCAGGCTGCAACTCAGACGTCACAGGCATCTAATTTACGTGGCCGGCCTGTCTTTGGATTAACATAGTAAGGATCAGCTGATTTTTCGAAGCATTTCAGTATACGGGTGACAGTTGTGCGATGAATACTGATTCTTTGGGCAATGTCATTGTTGTCCATGGAAAGCTTCTTGAGATCAACAATTCTGGCGACTTTTGTTGGGGAAGTATAGACCATGATTGCGAAAAGATGTCTGAGCTGTTTTTTTGGTCCATACTTTGCTAGATCTTTTATAATGAGGTACCATGTGTTTCTGAGACACCTGAGCAAAAGTATTGCACATGGTTTTCAGCAATAAAATGCATGTATTATGGCTAGATCTAATTCATATATGTGTAACTTGTTTCGATTATATGTATTACACTTTAATGTACCCCAAACACTCATTTTACTTGAGTTTAAAGCATGAATCCAACCAGGAGATTGATGCGACTCGATCACATGGTGGCTGTGCAATACTTTTGATTGCCACTGTAGTACCAAAAGTCTCAATGATGTCATTGATGTGGAATGGTCAAAGTCAAATGACATCCTTGGTTAGTGAAAGACTTGGTGCTCATGAGAGAAAAGGTTTTCCAATTGTCACAGCTAACAAGGTATCAATAGACCAGAATTCAAAACGCTCTGCTTAGTGGCTTTGTTTAGTTGTGGAGTCTCAGGGTATGTGCAAACAACCTAACCAGGAATTTATGACTATATACACAACAGCGGGAAGGGGCGGGAAGACAATGCCTGCCAATTGGCTGTGGGAAGTTGTTTGGCCAGCTCCAAAGGTAAATAAAATCACTGAGTGGAGCATTTGGAGTTCTGGTCTATCGATACCTCGTTAGCTGCAAGGATTTCGAGGTGATTCCACTTGGCAGGAGAGAACTTGGTGCCAAATTTTGGAATGAGATGGCAGCCTAAGACGACGTCACAAAGGGGCACAACCTCGGAAATGGGCTGATTGTGGTGGGAAGAGCGAGTAACAAAGCGGAGGCCTGAGTCGGGATCGGGGGATTGCAGCAGGTTGAACCATTCAATATAGGTGAGGTATTGTGGAAGGGAGTGGTCACGATGCAAGTGATCTGGGAGAGTAAAAATTACTCGCATCTGTGCTACCCAAAGTCCTGTGGGTAGATAGGTATGAATAAGATAAAGTCTTAGCATGTAATAGGTGATTTACGTACCTTCTAAGCATGTGCCCTTGGTGGCCTGGTTTCCCTTCTCACTTTCACTCCTGACAAGAACAGAGTCGAAGTTTTCAGGTGAGTTGTGTTTCCACCCTGGAGTAAGTGGCATTGCACGGACGCATTGCAAGGCGCCAATGCGTCCATCAGCGGCAAGGGCCTTTAAATGAATTGAAAGCTGTTTGTAGATGTCGAACATGTCAGTTGCATTTGGAAGGGTTGGCTGTTCAGGAGGTGGATGTGCATGTCGGATAAATCTAGTGACTGAAGTAAGGAAGTCTGTGGCATGGAATTGGGTGATGATGTCCTTGAGCTTCACCCGACGAAAGCAAGGGTTGACTGCAAGGAGATGGGTGGCAGGTAAACCAGAGTGGGATGAGACTTCGTTGTTGTCATCATCGACTACATCAGTGTGGCTGGCACTGCCACGGCCAACTTTCTCATGACCACTTTCATGCACATCATTGTCGTCGAGGTCCTCACTGTCCAGCTCTTCCTGGCTTTCGCATCGCAACAGCCAATCGAGATACTGTCCAAAATGTACTGTTGCTTCCCACCTATCCAACCATGTCGCCATCTGTTGTATGAAGTCACGCTTATTACTTGCCTGATAACCCTCCTTCGCAAAGTCAATGTGAAGCCTTTCTGACCACTCTGTATTGTATCCGTCGGCAGATCCACGTGACTTGATGGAGGCAAAGTAGTGCATCATCTGATGAAATTTTGGTATGTTGAAATGCTCTCGAACACCTTCTCGTATTAAAATTTCTTTGTTGTCATGAAAAGTCTTCAACACATCTTGGAGCATGTTCAAGGTTTCTGAGGTGTGTACCTGTAACCGAGCATAGTAGATGAAATCAATCACAGCCCTTGCAGTTTGTAAAACCTGTGGCTGAACAGCGCCAACAAGAAGGCCCATGAACACGCGCTGCATCTCCTTGTGCTCAGTGCCAGTCCATTGCAAAACATTTGATATCCCATTCTTGAAGTTCCGAAGCCCTGGGTACCCTGGCATGCTCCAATATTGGTCATCCAGTTCAGCTTCCCCCGCTATCTCAGTGCACCATTTCACGAGGTGGTCATGGAACATCCCTTTGTGAAGCTGATGGAGTAGGTCTGGCGTAAAGCAGGAGAAGATATTGGTATGAGGGAGATCTGCCCAGAATGGTTCCCAGACTTGATGAATCCCTTCATCATTAAATTCAGGAACCCACCGACCAGACTTCTTGTGAGAAAGTATGACCTTTGTCCTTTCTTCATTGTGTAACAATGATTCCACAAACATCCCCCTTTCTCCAGGTAACACCCGACATCTTGGGCAGTAGCTCTCTTTACAAGCTGCCACCAGGCACTGTTCAGGGAAATTGGCAACATACACAGCCAGGAGTGGGTAGACATGGCAGACAAAACCATCCGCGCAGGTAACATATACTCTGTTATTCCCAGCATCAATAAGCAGTGCTAAAATCTTCTTCATGCAGTAATGAAACAACCGATAACCCTCCTGAGAGCGGGTGGCCTCTGTATAATTATCCAATTTGGTGATGGGTAGGTACCCAATCAGAACAGTCGCATGTGCAGTAGGCTTGCGCCGCTTTTCCTTATCGATATTCCCAATGGTAAGATAGACCGGATGATTGCCATGGGCGTGCCTCCAACAGTGCATGGGAGGATCACAAGGGGTTAGGAACTGACGGCATTAGGGGCCGTAGGTAGTCTACAAAGATGTAAGGTCTGACATGGGGCCCTGCCCTGATGGACTATAAATTTGACTCAAAAAAAAAAAAAAAAAAAAAAAAAAAGATAGACCGGCCATGCCTTCTTGTCCCCTCGAAAATTGGTCAGGTGCGTTTTATCAGTTGATATAATGAGTGCTGCAACTGTCGATCCAACAGGTAACATTTTCTGGAAAATGTTCAACACTTGAATGACAGCTCGTTGTGATGGACTGAAATACCTGAATTTCCCACCACCACTCGGCTGTCCATGTCTCATCAAACACCTGGTTAGTCCCCTCCTTATCTTTGAAAACTCGTTCGGGTGCATAGTGTAGAGCCTCTCGGAGACTCTCATTGCCCATTAAGTCCTTCACGACTTCAACAGGATTTCGATGCCAAAGCTCGAGTTTCTCAGCAGGCATTGGCTTCCCATCATCATTGATGCAGTTTCCTGGTGCAGTAATGATCTCACATGTCCACAGATCCCTGTGAGTGGGCAATGCATCAAGCTTCTTCAAGAAATCTCAGTTATTCTTGTAAGATGGCTGCGTTCGATCACGCATCTATTACACAGACTCCATCAGAGATCAATGTAAATGTTCACACAAAAAACATACAATAGGAAGCTTCAGGTAAGCATCCGCCTGCTTTTGCCCCACATTTTGCAGTAACCACTGCGCTAACTGCCATTCAGCTTCATCCACGAATGGTCCCCATATTGGATCACCCTCTGTCTCTTGCTCCCGGAGTATTCTCTTGAACATTGTAGTGCCTCGCCCCCATGTAGCGCCTGCTTTTGCAGCCTTGGGAAAGTCTTCAACGTAGCGGACATTGTCGTGGAGTGGGTTATCTTCATCTGGAACTTCCTCAACTGTTGCTCATTCTGACCTTCTTGGCAGTGCATCAGGAACATGAGGTTCTGGTGGTTTAAGAACAAAGTCACCCATGTTGTCGAGGTCTTGGTCCAGCTGGAAAACAACTTCTGGCTCGTCTTCAACAGGATGTTCAGCTGGGGTGGGAGCGCCTTCATTATTTGTCCCAGAAGATTCTGGGACTTGTTCTCCAGCTGGTGGTGCATGTATGTCATCCCAAATGATCACGGCATACTGGCCAAACTTGGCTTGACATGCGCGATGACAGTTTGGTGAATTGTTAATGTGCCTTTTTAGCCCTGTGAGACTTGGAAAGGGGCCTTTTTGACAAAATCCACAGAAAGTGATAATCGGCTCAGGTGGATCCTCACAGACCCTTGTCGTCTTTCTCAAGCGGGTTTGGCAGGGAGGCATGTTTGCAGTACGCGCTCTTGATGGACAGATTAAAATTGGAGCTGACGTTGATCCTTAGGTGTCTCACACATTGACTCTCCACCCCCGTTACCCTCTGCCCTGTGACACGTTGCTACCAATCATGTTACTGACGCATTGCAGAAATCGCGTCTTTGTTGACATTGAAAAGTCTACACTGCCACCTCCTGCTCCTATTTAAACTCGAACCACCATGTTGTCCTGCCTCATCTTCTAAAAATTAGCATGCTCTTTCCCCTTCTACTCTCTTTCATCACAGTTTTTTTACTCAATATGCCTCCTTGTCTATGCACGACCACTCTGAAAACTGCTTCAGCCCCCCCTGTTGTGGTTGAATCAACTTCTTCTGGACACGCTCACACTCTATCATCAAAGCAACAACAGCTGGGTAAGTAAAACTTCTTGTATATATTATTAATCATTTGGTTCAACATTTGTTCAGATACCGACAAGGCTCTCAAGCAGGCGTCAGCCAAAGACAAGGCATACACTCAAGCCCTCTGTGCTCATCAAGCACAGGAAGCAATCATGGGCTATCAGGCAATCCTGATACAAGCTCCAGCACCTCCTTCAGCAGCTGCCAATGCTGATGGCTTGAAACCAGAGTCCGAGGATGATGAAAACCAGCCCACTGCGCACGGTCAAGGGGTCAATTTCTTTCTGCAGTGTTATCTTTTTCTTGTACTAAATTATTCAATCTAGTTCACATCAGTCACTCTTCAGCCGATCATCAAAACATCTGTGCATGATGGTCGCCTGCTGACCCATCGTGTTCCAATCGATAAAGAAAATGTCAGCCCCTCCTTCAAAGTATGTAACATATGCCCGCTCTCAATTTCTATGCTACACATTACATAGGTACCAACGGGGGGACCATCGAAGAACCTTGTTCAATGGGTCAGTGGTCAACCTCCTCAGGCTTCACCATCTATCATCCTGGCAGCTGGTCCCTATAGCCCCAACAGTGTTTCCCTCTATGGCCAAGGTGACGGTACCTACTATACAAAGAAAGGAGACATGTGGATGCTGAAGGTGAACGTCTCTCCCTATCTGATCATATCATTGTCTAACTTTTGTTTGTTCCCCAGATAGTGACGACGAGTTTGGGATGAAATCATCAGGTGTTACCTACCCACAACCGACTGAATATAGGTACCCTCAAGTACACCCTGATCTTGAAGCATTTCCAAGGTCTATGACTGAGGCCATCTCGGTGAAACCAGTATGTAATTCTGTGCAATCTATCACTTCACTACTAACTTCCTGGAGACTAAGGCTGTAACACCAGCCACCAACCCCTGCATTCGAAAGGATTGTCCAGTCACCCCTGCGCCGTCGACCACCGTTATTATCAAGCAACCCAAAATGCAAACAAGCGGAATGCGAGGGCGTGTTCGCGCTTCCGATTTCGACGAACTCAGCAAATCCCTCCTTGAAGAGTCCATCTCCATCTACCGCGCTCAAATTAGGGGTGTCCAACCATATCCTGACCATCTTGAGGAGCGTGATGCCGCCACTGCAGCTTGGGTTGAGGCATGTACAGCACGTGGAGTCCGTGTTGAGTTTGATGAGGATATACTCAAATTGGTGTGCATGGCTCACTGCCAATCCTTTCTATCTATCTTAACATTCCACAGATGACAGCACGTGCATCCCAAGTGCATGGCTATCTCAAGACCACTGCTCGACCGCTTGTTGAGGCAGCTTACGGGATCAACCCCAATGCTCCCAAGTGCGAGATCAGGAACCTTATTGAAGATCTCCAAACTTGAAATAACTTCTTGTACAAGGTTCATCAATTTCTTTTTGTTTTTTCTCTTTTACCATCCTTTCATCTGTAGGACTTGAAGGAACACAAAGGTATCTACCGCCACCCTGCTTTTCAATCAATCATCAACAAAACCTGGTTCAAAAACAAGAGCGACAATGCTGTTATTCACCCCGAGTTCTCTGAAGGTGGTATGTTGTCAAAGGTGACCAAGGCACTTGCAATCACAGTGGTATGTTCACATTAATCCCTTCAATTGTGGCACCTCCTCATCCCTTTTTGGCAGGTGGAGAATTGCCTTGACACATGGCAAACTGGCGAACACGTTGATGTCCCCTTCACCGTGGCAGCATCATGACAAGCCCAAATTCACCACAAACCTCAAGCAACTCATCGTGTTTGATGACAAGACAAAGGAGTCCAACATTGTTCCCCGCCTCCTCAAGCATATGTTGAAAATGGCCAGGTATGTTATCGTCGCACAAGCTGTTCCCCATCCTCATCCACATCTCTTTCAGGAAACACGCCAAAGTCACTGATGCCCCAGAGGTGGCACAGGCCATTCAATTCACTGAAGATGATGTCGAGGCAGCTAAGAAGGAATGGGAATCCATGGTGTTTTCTGATGATGAGTAGTGTCAAAGTAGCGTATCAATTACTAGTAATTGCAATCTAGCCCAGTATATACCCGTATACCCTATAGCCAACCTGAATACTATTGTTTTTAGACTTTCTATATGCAACTATGTGACCTAACAGCCTATTGGGGTTTTGTCCTATCATCAAATATGGCAACCTAAGTAATGTTGGTGGCGTCTACAGTGACCAGTATAGTAGGGGGGTACCTAAATACCTACAGCTTCTACATAGGTCTTAACTTTTTTCCTGATGTCATTACCTACACGTGTTTGAATCTGGTCTTTACCTGACAAGCCGGAATAGTGATTGTCAGTAAATCAGGAATCACAATGAGGCTGGCAACGACATCGGAGAGTGAATGGAGAAGAGGAGTAAACTGATGTTGGTCCTTCAAGTTCTCACATCCTGCCAGATCAGACATGAGGAGAAGATGCGGCAGATGGAGTACCAGTTGAATGGGGAAAGTGGGGACCCAAAGGTGCTGGAACGTTGACTGGAGTTCAGCATTCGGACGGGGTGAACAATCCTTTTGGCCCTGGGTTTGGGTCCTGGGAGCCATTCAAAGTCTTCAACTGCCCACCATTCTGTGGAAGTGAGGTAAAACCTTGATGGATCCAACAAAGCCAGTAATTGAAAATCTGGACAAACACAATAAAGCTAAATTTTAGGAACAAAAGCAACTGAATAACAAGGTATCTTGAGAATGATTTGGAGAGACCTCTCGAATTTTAGCATGGAGGGCTGAACTTGGGCGAACACGAACAAATGAACCCTACTAACCCTCGTCTGTGGCCGTTGTTTTAGATTTACTCCTAACCCCCTCTTTCCGAAAGTGATTGAACCCTGACCATTTCATCCAGCTGAGGAACCAGCTCATCAGTCAATCAAGAAAAAATCCAAAAAAAAAACTCACCCATCCCAGACCCTCAAGACCTTATCGCACCCACCAGTCACGATTGAACTGGGCCAGCCCCAGCCAATGAAGGAGTAGCACATTCTGGTTTGATTTGAGCTTGAGGGGCCTTGTGATTTAGGGATCGACTGTGACGCCACCAACGTGAAGGTGCGCTGTGTAGTCTGGTCTGGTGCGAGTTGCGGTCATCCTGCTGGTGGTGCGAGCTTCCACCATGCCTGTTGTGTGAATCTCCACCACATTTGTGGCTCAAACTCCTGCCACCACATTGATCTAGTTCCCGATGTCTACTTGCCTAGTCCATCGACAGCATTGAATTTCGAAGCAGGCAAAGAGCCGCAGATGTTAAGTGAGATTGAGTTGGTCCCCGACTCCCTGCTGGCCTGCGTTTAACTTCCAGCTGTCACTTGATGTCGTTATTCTCCGATCGTCTGCCCCGTCGACTCTACCTCACTCAGCTTTCCCAAGGATGAATAATGCACCTAAGTGCACATATACACTCCCACTGAAAATCGACCCTGTGCAGATCAAGTTCCTCCAGATCAAATCGATATATTTGCCAATTTCCAGCCATCTCCCCTGTTCAGATCGGGTTCCACCGATCCATTTGGCCATTTTTTAGGGTTGATTTTCACTGGGATACACTGTCAGGAGTAATCACACACGAAAAAAATCAAACCAAAAATACATACGAACATTATTGATGAAGCAAATCCTACGAAATTAGTTAGTTCAGTCACATGGGTCCAATAACAACAGAACAGCCGGACGTGACAATCACTTGTAGTGAATGGGTCAGCTGGGGCGGCCAGTTTGATTGCCATTGTTCCATTGGCAACAAAGCGGCCAGTTTCTGACCCTGGCAGGGTTTACGCTCCTGAGGTGGAACCACTTTTTCAACCGATGTGCTCTCAGCCCATCCTGATGGAACTACAAAAAAATTTAACTGGGGACTCTCTCCCCTTACTTACATCCATCTAGATCTGTAGCATAATGTATCTTAATCTTTATCTCATCCAACTCCTGCAAGATAGTCTCCATATCAACCAAAAACTGAATTTTGTCCCAACAGGGAAACACCCACCTTGTAGTTAAGAAATGAAAGCTTTTCATTTAGCTACTCACACCTTGTCTACTCATTTGTGGCTCCATTGGGGTGTCAAACTGGAATTGATGGTTCTGTTGGGGATGTCTCCGTCGGGGTGTTTGACATTGACATTGAAGGCGCCACAGGGGATGTTTCTGTCAGGGTGTTTGACATTGAAATTGAAGGTGCCACAGGGGATGTCACCGTCGGGGTGTTTGAGGTTGAGATTGAACGCACTGCAGGGGATGTTTCTGTTGGGGTGTTTGACATTGAAATTGAAGGTGCCATGGGGGATGTTGCCGTCAGGGTGTTTGAGGTTGAAATTGAAAGCGCTGCAGAGGATGTTGCTGTTGGGGTGTTTGAGGTTGAGATTGAAGGTGTTGTGGGGGATGTCTCCGTCGGGGTGTTTGACATTGAAATTGAAGGTGCTGCGGGGGATGTCTCTGTCAGGGTGTTTGTCATTAAAATTGAAAGCACCGCAGAGGATGTTGCCGTCAGGGTGTTTGAGGTTGAGATTGAAGGCACTGCAAGGGATGTCTCCGTCAGGGTGTTTGACATTGAAATTGAAGGTGCCGTGGGGGATGTCACCATCAGGGTGTTTGAGGTTGAGATTGAAAGTGCTGTGGAGGATGTCGCTGTCAGGGTGTTTGAGGTTGAGATTGAAGGCACTGTCGGCAATGGCCCCATCAGGGTGTTCGACATTGAAATTGAAAACATGACCTCCACAATATGGTCATCTGTGGCATGATCTTGACTACGTCAAGTTAGCAGAACACTTTATTGACTGTGGCAGAGCATTTGATTGACACTGACAGGGAATTGAGAATTCAAAATGTTGACTCCCACGGGGCATTCAAAATTCAATATGTCAGCTCTGGCGAAGCATTTATTCAAGATAGAGGAGTCAATCCACTACAGCATTTTTAAGCTGGTGCCCAGATCATCCATCCATGTGAACTGAAACATGCAATGGCTTGGAATATGTGATTTGCAGAAACAAGAAATATATTGTCAAGAAATCAACACACAATATCAATGAAAGGTCCTGCTAGTAGCCATGACAAATCCTCATAATACAAAAGAAAGATCCACTGAATTGGAGGTCAGATAGTTGAGGTGTGCACCATTTAGTTTTTAGAAGTAGAACAACTCTGGCAGCCCGCCTTACCAAATATGGGCCAGCGGCAACCTAATATGGAAGGAGCGCATTATTCACACTCCATCTGAAACTATGCACTGCGCCGCGCTCATTGGCAATACAATGCACCAACAAAACAAAGACATTGGGGGGATCCCAGAAAGGAATAGAATCATTTGGAATAGTTTTCTCAGTGATTGAAGAAGTTTTTGTGAACAGACCTTGGAAAGAGCTATTTGGTGCATGAATCTTTATACAAACCAGTTGCACAACATGCCATTTTGCATACATCAAGTTATATTTTTTTTTCTTCCCTCAAAACTGCTTCCCCCACCTATCTGAATTGATTATAAAGTATGTAGGCTATATTTGGGGAAAGTATGGGAGCATTTCAACAAGATTTAGATAGTGAAAGGAAATAAGAAAGAATGTAGTTTCATGTTTAGAGTCATATTTTCACCCTTTCAAGCTCCAGCTCCCCCAAACCATCAGAAAACTGCTTCAGAGCAGGGGATATATATTCTGCCATATGTTAACTATGTATAAGAAAGGCTCAGATGTTGAGATTTGGTAGCAAAGTATACAGAAAAGTCAACAATATCATGTTGCGAGATATTTCATGCATTCAACCTCATTTCTCCACCATGTGCCAAAATTCTTTTCCAAAGTAAACTTGAACCTATTTTACAACAGTTATAGTATGCTGGAAAGATGTATTGAGAAGCTATAACAGTACAGCTCATTTTTTTTCCCCACAACTCCGGCAGGGCATTTCATTGACTCCGTCGGGGCATGTAAAATTAAATATGTTGACTCCTGCAAAGCATTCAATACACTCCGATGGGGAATATAAAATTTGAATTGGGTGGGAGACAGTTGATTGAATTTCATGGGGTATTTAATTCACTCCATTGAGGCATTTAAAATTAAATATGTTAACTTCTGCAGGGCAGTTTATTCACTCCGACGGAGCATTTTATTGACCCCGTGGGCGAATTTAAAATCAAATATTTTGACCCCACGGAGATTTAATTCACCCCGACGGAGCATTTTATTTACGCCGTCGGGGCTTTTAAAATTAAATATGTTAACTCCCGCGGGGCAGTTTATTCACTCTGACAGGGCATTTTATTGACCCTGTCGGCGAATTTAAAATCAAATATGTTGACCCCGCGGCCATTTAATTCACTCCGACAGGGCATTTTACTCATGCTGTCAGGGCATATAAAATTAAATATGTTCTCTCACAGGGCACTCTGACAGGGCATTTTATTCACTCTGTCATGAAATTTAGAGTCAAATATGTTGACCCCTGCGGTGCATGTAGTTTACTCCTCCAAGGCATTTTATTTACTCTGACAGGGTATTTTAAATCAAATATGTTGACTCCCATGGGGCATTGGGTTCACTCCTCCAGGGCATTTGAAATTGAGTATGTCAACTCTGGCAATGCATTTACAATTAAACATAATAACCCCTCAAGTCAATCAAATTCTTCATGGAGTCAAAATAGTCAAATTTAAATGCCCATGGTGGTTGACATACTCAGCTGTAAATTCTCTGCCGGAGTGAATCAAATGCCCTGCGGGAGTTGAAATAACCACCCCATTGGAGTCAATCAAATGCTTAACCAGAGTTGACATATTCAATTTCAATAGATATCATTGATTAATATTATGGACACAGGTAATTTACCATTAGAGCAGGTTGTGGTATATACAGCATGCTTTGCTGACCAGCAGCTGTGTGGTAGAGCAAGTAGCTTAGGGTGGAGGTTTACAATTAGCTACTACTGATAGAAGCAAACAGTACAACATCAAAGCAGGTAACAGTATTACAGTTGTTCTAGTAAAGATTGGGGAACTATGGTGTGATGCCGATGGGACACCCAGAAGGCTGCTGTAGGTAGCTGCCGTGGCAAGAGACGCCATGCCCGCAAGCCATTTGTATGCATCCGGCTGGTCTGTTGGTAAAGGGATGTTTTGGAAAGTCCGGCCAGGACCGGCTGGCCCATTCATTATGAGTCATTGTCATGTCTGGCTACTATGTTTGGTATGTGACATAGTGACTGATATATGTGACAAAATGAGAAGTTAGCAAAAGGGATCCTAGTTGTGAAGATGTGGAGAAAACTGACATCTGGATAGACAATACGGCTCGACGTCGCAGTCCATCTTTTAAGTATGGTAGGTGGCCCACTGTGACAGAATTTTGGGCTGTGCTGTGTGAGCGCTTGGATGTCCCAGCAAAATCCGAATGATTCTTGCTTCTTTCCTTCGCCCCCATCTGCTATACTTCCAACATGAGCCAACCAAATGTCCTCCAGGGAGCTCAGAACGTTGTTATAACTGACAGCAACATAAACGTCGCCAATGCTGTAAGTGAAGTTCTCTGATGCCTCTTATTGCAAGCTAATCACTTGGTATTTTGCACAGATCAATTACTATGCTAGCGCTGGCAACAGAACGATATATGCAACAATTCCCATAAAACCAAACTCAAGTATTCGTTTCACAGGACAGACCAACGTTCTCACAAAACTGAAGAAACATTTTACTGCCGAAAGCAATGATAAACTCCGCTGTTGAAAATTCTTTTTGTTGTATGGCATGGGGGGTATTGGAAAGACTCAGGTTTGTTTGAGGTTCATTGAGGATATGTCTGACTAGTAAGTACTCCACCATACTACTTAGTCCCCATTTCATGGGTTCCCAGCTTTTCCCATGTTTTCTGGATTGATGCATCTTCAATTGGTACAATCACACAGGGACTGAAGGGAATCTGCAACCTTCCTAAGGCTCAGTCTTCTGCTCTGGATGGTTCACCTCAATCTGCTTTACAGTGGATTAGCTCTCTGATAGAAAACTATGCAATGGTCTTTGATAATGCTGATAATCTGACACCTGAGGAACTGGAGCAATATTTTCCACCTGGGCTAGGAGGGAATATTCTGATAACTAGTCGCAACTCTGGCTTAAAACATTTGACTTTACATGAGAGTTCTCTTGAGGTGAAAGAGATGGAAGAAAGTGATGCCATCTCTTTACTCTTAAATGCTGCTTGGTTGAATGAGTCTCAGGAAGATCTACAAGCTGAGGCTTCCAAGATTGTGAATGAGCTCTTTTGCATTCCCCTAGCTATTGATCAGGCTGGTGCTTTCATTGCTTTTGGGGCACAGACATCAGAAACTATCTTTATGAATACTCTCAATACAGAGAAAGATTATTATCTTACCCAGCTTTCAGAGGGGCATCTACATATAACAGAACTGTGTATGGGACTTTGGAGCTATCATTCAAAGAGATTCAGCATAGAGCTAAAAGCGATGATTCTCAAAGAGCTGAGGCAGCTAAGAGTGCAATGTTTCTGCTGGCAATCTTGCCTCTTCATT